CCAGACCAAACAGATAGATAGGCTGGTATCTATTTTATCTACCAATGTAGCTAGACAAGACATATGTAACTTCTCCCACTTCCATTTCTAATCGGGACTATGTTTATACACTAAGGAATTATATCATAAGCCTGTTGCTGTCATTTCTTTTTCGAGTCTAGTAATGCTAAGCACTGCCACTGAAATCACTGGAATTCAGCACCTAAATGCCTTTGAGGAACTGGGTGTTGTGTTCCTGTGTGAGATGTGTGGGTGATCAGGCCACCAATCAGATACACTGCAAAAATGGATCCAAAATTATATTCCTCCGTCATATGACGGAGGTGCACAGCTACCAAGATTTGCTCTGTCTGAAGTGCTTTGTTATTTAACGATTAAATTTGCATCTGACTCTAAACATCAGCTTTTGGATAAATCAGCCTGTAGCCAGCACCATTAGGGATGGGGTACAGACCTGTAAAAAAAAACTTGCTAAGTTTTGATGATGTGTGGCTGGCTACTAGGAGGTGTCTGCAAGTGTTGGGGTCAGCAGATGCTGGCTCGGTGGAGAGAACTGCAGGGGTGGAGGTTGGGTGGAGTTTCTGTGAGAGATTAGAGTTAGTCCTTAGCTCTGCCCTTCTGTTCCCATTACGTGACACCTCCTGTCCTGGTTCCTTTTGCAGTCAGTCATCCTGGCTACTCATATCTATCATGGAGTAGATACCACAGCAGCTTTTGGTAGCTTAGCAGCAATTATAGTTTATTTCTAGAGCCCTGCTGGACACTTGGGATACAGGCAGAAGTGCAACTCCCAGCTGTAACAGAACAATTTTTGCAAGGGCTTCTGAGTTACAACCTTACCCCAGACCAAACAGAAGTTCACTGTTGGTTCCAGGGGTGAGGGGAATCTGTGGGCAGGCAGCTTGGAGAACAGTTCCCATAGCAATGGCCAGGGGTCTCTGCCAGTGCTTGCTGTTTCCAAAATGGGCGGGGGGAAAGGCAGTGAAGGGAGATCATTCTTGGGGCTTCCCAGCCATTGCTGAAGGGTGGGGTGGGATGAATTGGAGCCCTCCCAGCTTGGGGGAGGGAGGAAGGGGGGGCTCTAATACACCTTCCCCACCCTCCGGGGGGGGGCTGAAAAACGCCCAGATTGAATTCCCTATGTTCCCTTTCCCCCTTCCCATTCTGAAAACAATACGAGGCTGGGAGCTCCCCAGATACAAGTTACAAAAGATGCTACATTTTGAAACATCTTTATCTGATCCCTCATGCAAAGATGGATCAGATTTTCACCTAATCAGCCATTTTTAAAATTGCCTGCAGCCGTGCACTTGTTTTTGGTCACAGCTATAAAGTGCTTTCTGTGGCCAGATGGGCAAAAAGCGTTATTTCTGTCTGCACCTTTGATGCACCAGCCAGACTACAGGAATGTTTGGCAGAGCTACTAAATGAGCTTTGAGATATTTGACAGTCCTGGTAATGGAGCCTACGTTGGGTACAAAAAGTCTTTACCTTCACTCATAGTTCCATTTAAAATATAGAAAGTTGCTTGATGATCAGCTTCACTCTCTAGGCCTCACTTCCCAAAGCAGAGGTGGTTATTTAACACATACAGGGTGACTTCTAGAGCCCCAGAGAAGAGGGGCAATATCTAAGCCTTCAACGCTTTCATGGGTCATGTACTGGCCATTTTCCAACAATGAGTATACGTCATCAATGTATTTGCGTCAGTACATCGTACTTAAATTTTCTCTGAAAACCACAGCTTAGACCTGTGCATTAGGGCTGTACAAAAGAGCTATGTTCCATTTCAGTTTTGGATTTTGCCATTTCAGAGGACAGTGATTCATTTGGGTGTTTTGGATCACTGCTGTTTTGATTTGGCCGAATCTATTCCACAGTTTCAACGCTGTTTTGGAAATTCGGATCGGCTGGGGAGAGGCAGGCACAGCTGGGTGGCTGCAGGTTCTCCTGTGGCTCTTCTGGCTTTGTCTGCCTCTCCCTGGGTGGCGGGAGCTGTGGGAGAAGCCCCCATGGCTGCCCTGCCCAGCCCAATCCCCAACCTGGCCATCCCTAGCCTAGTCCTGGCACTTAAAAAAAAAAAAAAGCCCTGCAGTTACTGACTCTGGCAGTGGTGATCAGGGCCTCTGAGGGCTTCTGGCAGAGCCCTCCCCATGCAGTGCGGGACAATGGGGGGCAGTGGGGATCCCCCACCCCCGCCTGGCACCCATGCAACAGCTGCCTCATGGCAGCGCGACTTGGCAGGGTGCCACGCTCTGTCTGTGACCTGGGCCTGGCATTACTCAGCCCCAGCGGCACCAGCTCCAAGACAGCGCGCAGCATCCTGCTGAGCCACACTGCACCCATGCCATGGTGGCAGCCGCCATGCGGGTGCTGGATTGGTGGAGGGGTCGATCCCTGCTGCCCCCCCCACTGCTCTGCACTGTACAGGGGGGCTCTGCCATGAGCCCTTGGAGGCCCTGATCGCCGCTGCCAAAGCCAGTGAGTGCGGCGCTATTTATTTTTTTTAAAGTGCCAGGAGGCTGGAGCCAGGTGGGGGATGGGGCTGGGCAGGGCAGCCACGGGGGCTTCTCCCATGGCTTCCCTGGCTGTGCCCAGCATGGGCTGTGTCAAGCAAACTCGAGTGCTGTCACTGGGCACAGCCAGCAGCGGCACCCTGCTGTCATCCCACATGCATATCGGGGGCTGTGCCCCCTGGGAGGGCTGCGGGGGGGTGTGCTGGACTCCTCCTGCGGGGTGCAGGCCCCTGGATCTGTGTGCAGGATGACAGCAGGCTGCTGGCCCTCCTCCAAAGCACTGGGATTGGAAGGGACCTCAGGGACAGATCGTAGACACTGGCCAGCTACAGATGTCAATATCGGAGCAGTCCTTCTGCCCCTCTTCCTCTTCTTAGTTTCTGTTTCCCTGCAAGCCTGGTTCTGAAACATCCGACACATTTCCGAAACATTTTGAATGGTTTCGTTTCGTTTCAGAAATGTTTTGGAGCCTTCCATTTCATTTTGGATTCTGTGTTTTGGGTGCTGAAACGGGCTGAAACACCTCCGAAATGAAACGGCTGCCGAAATTTCGCATAGCCCTACTGTGCGTTTAGTAGGGCTAAACTGCTTGGTATATGGTATAACCATTATGGTATATGGTATAACTGTTGAATCTGAAGATAGTTTAGTAAATTTAATGTTACTTAAAATTATGATATATTTGAAAAGCGTGATTTGGAAGGAACACAAAGGCTCTAACATATGATACCACAGTCTGGTTACATAACACTCATCAGTGTGAATTCAGACATCTCAAGGGGAGACAATACTTCATACATGAAAAGACTGACTAGAATTATAAAAAAAGAAAATAGCTACTAAGTTTGTACCACTTCTCCAGTCTGAATGTGAACTTGAGATATACCACGTGTAAAACACTACAAAATAGCAGGAAGGAGATTAGTCCATGATGTGAAGAGTTATTTTTGGCAGACATTTATGCATCTGCTTATACTTAATGGAAGCATCTTCCAGCTACCTAGGAACAAACTACATTAGAGAAGCCTACCCTCAAAAAATGTAAAGGATATGAATTGGGCAAAAGTCAGGAAATTCAGCATTAGACTAAAGACTCTAACCACACCTGCATCCTAGTTATTTAAGGTCTCCTGCCACAGTACATTATTATTATTTTTTAATCGGGTATTTATTTTAATGGCATCAAACTATGCATTAGGGGTCTCACAGCATAACTAAATGATAAAATACAATTTAAGGGCCCAGTCTAGCAAAGCACTTAGCACGGGTATAACTTTATACATGAGTTGTTTCCATTGATTTCCAGTGCTGACATTTATTCAGACATATAAGTGTTTAACTGGACTAGGGCCAGTATGGCATAGTAAGGCTTGTAACAGGGAAGCAGGCAGGGAAGAGAGCCTGGTTGGGACCACGTGAACTATGATTACTCAGCTACATTAACAGATAGCTGGTGGTGCTAAAACAGCTCCATGAATGAATGCCTGGATGGAAGCGGTGTAAGGGAAGACAAGGTAGTTGCTCTGTAAGGCTGCTCAAGACTGGTCTCCCAGCATGGTAAGATACTGGAGAGCATAAGATATCCAAGTTGCAATCCCCAGGGGAATGGGAAAGGGGAAGAACCACATGCTAAGAAGGACCAACATGGACCTGCTAATCATTGCCGACAAAATCTAAACACGACTTACAGCTCACAATGTTTCTGGAAACAAAGCATAGCTGCAGTGGGGCATTGCAGCCTCCTGGATTAAGACCTTGATCCTGCATTTGGATCAGCCCAAGGACTGGATCTAGAGCACGTCAGGGAGCACATAGGGGATCCGGACCAAATGACATATAAAGGGGTGGTTGCATAAGAGTGAAGTAGCTGTGATGGCCCAGAAATTATGCAAGCTGCATCCAGAGATTTCTCTTGGGCAGACCAAGAATTTTTATATATATATATATATATA